AGGCAGTGCCAGCCCAGGGGGGCAGTGCCAGCCCATCCCCATGCCCACAGGCAGTGCCAGGCTCACGTTGAGCACGTCGTGCCGCAGCGCCGCGGGCTCCACGCAGCTGATGAGCCGCAGCAGCAGGTCCATCATGGCTGATGTGTCGATGTGCTTTAGCACCAGGCTGATGAATTTGTCCTTTTTCCTTAGAAACGCAATCACCTGGAAGGAAAGGAGCCCCCATCAGCTGCCAGCACCACACACAGCTCCCTGGGTTCACCTCCTCACCCCAACCCTGATCCCAGTGGTGATGGGTTAGGAACTCTCCAGAGAACGGGACAATAACATTCTTATCTCACGGCAGGACTAAATAAAATCTTTTTGGCCAGCTTTTGTCTCCTCTGCACCACAAGGAAGCCCAAGGCCACAGAGTAAGAGCATCAAGTGGAGCTGGAGAATTGTCCTTTTCTCGCAGTCTATGACAGCCTTCATTTCAAAATCCAGTATTTAACTGGGATGTGCACATTCCCAAATCCCTGCTCAGCCCATGCTTCCAGCACCCCTTTCATAGGGATGACACTGAGGCTCTGATGACCCAAGGGTGCCTCAATATGCCTTAGTATGAAAAATAAACCTTCGGCTGTGGCACGGGAGTGCCCCGACTGCGGCAGATCCCACCCCAAAGCTCTGGGAAGGTGTCTGCCTAAGCCAGCACCTCCCTCAAGTGAGGAATCCCAAGAACTTTTGGGAGCCCACATTTCAACTCCAACCTCTGAGCCGACTGTGAGCCCCTCCCGAGCTCCCGGGGCAGCCCAGCCCCCGGCAGGAGATCCCCTGTGCCCGGCAGGACAGAGCCCAGTACTACCTGCTCCGTTTTCCGGGCAATGAGGTTCCCGATAGTCTTACTGAAGAAACTGGCAAGCAAAGGGTTCAGGGGAGGCTCGTGATCCAGGAAGTCGTAGAGGATGTTGAGCAGAGTCTCGTCCCCGCCCAGCTTGTCGTTGATCTGCGGCACGTCCGAGGTGAGCAGCTCGCAGGCCGTGTTGGGGTACCTGGAACACAGAGCGGACACGCTGCAGATCCACAGGGAACTCCCTGGGAAACCTCCCCCTGGGGCAGCTCTTACTGAACATGTTCTTCCCTGGGAGGGTGGGCAGGCCCTGGCACAGAGTGCCCAGAGAAGCTGTGGCTGCCCCTGGATCCCTGGAAGTGTCCAAGGCCAGGCTGGAGTACCCTGGGCTGGTGGGAGGTGTCCCTGCCCATGGCAGGGTGGGACTGGATGGGCTTTAAGGTTCTTCCAGCTCAAACCATCCCACAAGAGGACTGATTCCTCCTGTGAGGATGTACTTTTACCTTCAAAGGGTCATTTGTTTCTAATCAAACCAGGTTTCTACATCAGGGTCCTTTTCAATCTTTGCAACCCAAGCTCTTCACCCACCATGAGCCACTAAAACATTCCCGGGCCAGCTGGAAGCTTTGCCCCCTTTCCCAGCACCATTCACTTCCCAACCAGGCTCCTTGTATTTATGTAGGTCCAGTCCTAAGAGTTCCAACCCCCCCCCAAGCCCCCAGTGATGCTGTTTCTGTGCTCTTTGCTGCTCAGAGGACATTAAAGGTCAGGGCATTATGGTTACCATACACAGGGATTTACAGCATCACATTTCTCATTGCCCCCAAGGGGACATGGAGACTCATTTCTCCTTCTTCTGGCTCATTGCTCTATGCAAAAGGCATCCACCATTCCTAAAAATCCATGTGTGGTGCTTCTCTGTGCACAGGGGAGAAATGAAACCTCTCCTTGTTCCAGCACGTTCTGTTCCTGCAGCCTTCACACCCCCAGGTCCTGATCCATCACCTCACCCTTCCCATTCAGGCACCTCGTCCCAGTGCTGCTGCTTTCCAGGCTGCAGGGAACTCACCTCACCTGACACTCACCCTCTGCCCCCCAGAGCACCCTCTGACACCCCTGGGAGTTGTGCCCTCCCCAACCTGTGCTCTCAGGAGGTTTTGGGGACACCCACAACGTCACCAGTTCATTCCAAACAGCCACAGCAGCTCCAAGAGTTCACGTTCTCCTTTCTTGCTCCAGGTCTCCCTCCAGGTGCTCAATTCCACACATTCTGCCTGGATGGGGCTTTACTGTGGAGTTTTCCTCTTTGCAGTTCCCTTCTGAACTTCAGGAACTTCCACCCCAGCCTCCCAAGAAGGAAGGATGTGATGATCCCCTTTTCCCAGCTCACACCATCCCGAGCCACACGTCCTTCCAGACCTGGCGAGTTTCTCCCCATTCCACCTCACAAACTCTCACAACCTTTTCTGAAGAGCCAAAACTGGGATTCCCTCTGGATTTAGACAGAGTCCATTCTTACTGCTTGGCCTTTATTTATTCCAAAAGCTTCCCAGCTTCTCTCCCCTCTCCTGTCCCTCCCTGGGCTCTGGAAACGCTTCCGTGCCTCGTCTGCCCCAGGGACTGAAGTGCTTCCAAGAACTGCTCCATCGAGGTCACCACAGTGACCCAGAGGAATTTGCTCCTTGAAACCTCTGTCTCTGTCCCCACCTTCTTTGTTTCATTACAGTCATGGAATCATGGAATGGTTTGGGTGGGAAGGGACCTCAAAGCCCATCTCATCCCATCCCCTGCGTTGGGCAGGGACACCTCCCACCAGCCCAGGTTGCTCCAAGCCCCGTCCAACCTGGCCTTGGACACTCCCAGGGATCCAGGGGCAGCCACAGATGCTCTGGGCAACCTGGGCCAGGGCCTCCCACCCAACAATTCCTTCCCAATATCCCATCCATCCCTGCCCTCTGGCACTGGGAAGCCATTCCCTGTGTCCTGTCCCTCCCTCCCTTGTCCCCAGTCCCTCTCCAGCTCTCCTGGAGCCCCTTTAGGCCCTGCAAGGGGCTCTCAGCTCTCCCTGGAGCCTTCTCTTCTCCAGGGGAACCCCCCCAGCTCTCCCAGCCTGGCTCCAGAGCAGAGGGGCTCCAGCCCTGGCAGCAGCTCTGGGGCCTCCTCTGGACCCTCTCCAGCAGCTCCACGTCCTCCTGCTGTTGTTCCCAGGGCTGGAGCAGCTCTGCAGGGGGGTCTCAAATTCACCTTTTACAGCAGGATCCTTGCAAAAGCAGCCATAGCATATTCCAATTACTACAGAACATACTCCCTGGCATTCCCTCACCTGGAACAGTCACCTAATCACAGCTATGAACTGTCTCACCTGACAATAAACCCAAACATTCCCATTTCTGTGGGCTTTGAGCAATGGCCAACACTGACCCATTCCCACCAGGAAAAACCTGCCTGGCTTTATTTATTTATAGTTGGAGCAACCCTTTATTTTTATATAAACTTAACAAAGACAAACAAACTTCCCAACTCCAAAATGTAAATATTCTGAAGTATACATTCAGCTAGAAGTGGATAAACACAAGCTGCTGTGAGAACCAAAGCTCAGCACGCTCTGAGTGCAGCCAGGTCCTCTGGGGCTGTGATCCCTGAAACCAGCAGGGGCTGAATGTCCAGCACATTGAGAATATCACATTTTCCACTCACTTTACAGCTCACTTTTTTCTGGGGGTTTGAAAACCCACTGACTTCAGAGATTTCTCCCTCTTGTGCTACAGTTCCAACAAAACCCTGCTCAAGGGGCTTTGGAGACGCTGATTTCGAGTGAACAACAAGAGATATTTTTGTAAGACAAGCTTCATGTTAAACTGCTAAAAATAAAGCAGAAAGGGTCTGAAAATCCCCTACAAGCCCCAAAATGCTGTGAAACACCCCCAGTGCTCCCCCACTGAGGAGGTTACACCCCTGGCACCGCAGGACAGGCCCAGGTGGAAGCCTGGGGATGTGTGGGGTGGGAGGGCAGGACCCCAATACCTACTTGAATCGGACCTTCTCGTCCATGTCCAGGGGGGGCTCATGGGTGATGAGGGTGACCAGCTGCTCCATGCAGTGCTGCTGGCACAGGAAGTCCAGCAGCCGGCGGTTCTGGGCCTTGCACTCCTGCAGGACGTCATCCTCGTCCATCAGCTCCTCCAGTGTCACATCCTCCTTGTCCAGCAGCTTGTCCACGTGCGACGTTGTGTTCAAATCAAACTTCCAGAACATGGTGATGGGACACGACTGGCTGGGAGGCAGAAAGGGACAGGTTAATGCTGCACCTCTGCTGTCCATCACCGTGGAACTGTCAGGGCTGGAAAAGACCCCCGAGATCTCCGAGTCCAACCACCACACACGGTCACCACCAACCCACGGGCTCCAGCGCCACATCCACACGACTCTGGACACCTCCAGGAGGGTGACTCTGCCCTGAGCAGTTCCCTCCAGGAACACTGACTGACAGGGGCTTCCAGCCACCAGAGCAGGGCCATGGAAAAGGCTGAACACCCCACCTTTTTCATCAGATTTTAAATATCTGGGTCCTTCACAGAGTAACTTTCACACTGAACCTTCAACTGCAGCACTCACAGGAACCACAGAATGAACACAGGAAAGAAACTTTTGAGTTCCTTTTACACCTGGAATGCCGGGGGCAGTTCTGGGCCCTCAGACAGGAGAGACCTGGAGGGGTTGGAGCGTGTGCAGGGAAGGGAAGGGAGCTGGGAAGGGTCTGGAGCAGCAGGAGGGGCTGAGGGAGCTGGGGGGGCTCATCCTGGAGCAAAGGAGGCTCAGGGGGGACCTTCTGGCTCTGCAAGTCCCTGACAGGAGGGGGGAGCCGGGGGGGGTCGGGCTCTGCTGCCAGGGAACAAGGGACAGGCCAAGGGGAAACGGCCTCAGGCTGGGCCAGGGGAGGGTCAGGTTGGGGCTGAGGAGGAATTTGTTGCTGGAAAGGGTGGTGAGGCCTTGGCAGGGGCTGCCCAGGGAGGTTTGCAGTGCCCATCCCTGGAGGTGTCCCAGGAAGGCCTGGCCGTGGCACTGAGTGCTCTGGGCTGGGGGACAAGGTGGGGATGGGGCCCAGGGTGGATCCATGGGCTGGGAGGGCTTTTCCAACCCCAGGGATCCTGGGATTTCAGCAACTGAATTTTGGGGTTGGGAACAGCCATCTGAGTGTTCAACCTACGTGACACTGCAGTGACAGTGATGCTGTTGGGCTCGGTGTGTTCCTTACAAACTGTTCTTCAGATATTTTTAACTATCTCTGCTTGGTTATAAATTCACCAAGGGAAAATGAAGCATAAAAGGCCTTAAATGCAGAAGGTTTGGGTGCACAGTTAACCCAAATACATAAATATTCCCTACATATATGTGGAATCCACACGTAAATCTCACCTTTCAAATTTAAAACCGTTATAAACCTGGCAATTCTACAGTTTTCCAAAACTTTTCATCCACCTCTAGGAAGAGCTCTCTGATCTTCCCTGGGCTGTCTGAGGCCCTGGCCCAGGTTGCCCAGAGAAGCTGTGGCTGCCCCTGGATTCCTGGAAGTGTCCAAGGCCAGGTTGGAGCAACCTGGGCTGGTGGAAGGTGTCCCTGCCCATGGCAGGGGTGGCAGTGGATGGGCTTTAAGGTCCCTTCCCACCCAGCCCATTCCATGAGTCCAGGATTTTACCACCTGTACTCAGCTCCTCCCCTGTCCCCTTCCCCCTCAAACCCCTCCCTCCATCTCCTCCCTCCCCACATTTCAGTTCCCTGCTCTGTGCAGCCGGACAGGCCCTGAGCTGCCCGAGGATCTGCAGGGATCAGCAGCTGTGAACAGCCCAAAATAAGCTTTCCAAAAGTGGTGGTTTCCTCATGGAGCTGCCATCCCTCAGCTCCAGCCTGGGGCCTGCCTGGGGTCCCAGCCATGGGGATATTCCAAACAATCCCTGGTACACAACTGCTCGAGTTTCACTTTCCCTCCTTAAACAACAGGGAGAAGGAGCTGGAGCAGAGGATGAGAACACGAGGATAAATGTGTCAGGGTCACACATTCCTGCTGCCCAAGATAACTCCGGCTATTTTGCTTCCCAAGCTGTTCCCAGCTCTTATATTTGGGGATAAAAGCACAGTGTGCTCAGTGTGAGAGCTCCAGTGAGCCTTGTCCAGCCTGAAGCTCCTGGCAGCAGGAACAGCCCATCCAGCTCCCCCCGATCCGGGCAGAGCCGGGATCCCCCCAGCAGCAGGAGCCTGGATGGATCCACTGGAATTTATCCGGACTGCAGGGATCAGCATCCTTGTGGAAACACAGATCAGAGAAGGGCAGGGAGCAGCTCCACCTCCCAGCCAGCTGGAGATGCTGCTCGGATGGGACTGGAGGCCTTAATTATGGAATCATGGAATGGTTTGGTGGGAAGGGACCTTAAAGATCATCTCGTTCCACTGGAGAGAGACTATTACAAGGGATGGAGGGACAGGACACAGGGAATGGCTTCCCACTGCCAGAGGGCAGGGAGAGATGGGAGAGTAGAAGGAATTCTTCACTGTGAGCGTGGGGAGGCCCTGGCACAGGGTGCCCAGAGAAGCTGTGGCTGCCCCATCCCTGGAAGTGTCCAAGGCCAGGTTGGACGGGGCTTGGAGCAACCTGGGCTCATGGAAGGTGTCCCTGACCATGGCAGGGGTGGCACTGGATGGGCTTTAAGGTCCCTTCCCACCCAAACCCATTCCAGAACTCCAGGATTCCATGATATCTGCCACAGCTCAGGCCTCAGCACTTCAATTCAGGTTACTTTTGTCACCAGTAAATCAGAAATCTCTTTCCCTTTTCCAAGTGGACTCTCAAAGCCCTTCCAAGCTGCTCCTTTATCCCTGGAGTATCCAACGAAGGGAAAACCACAGCGGCTTCAGGAAAGCAGTTTCCTCTGGGTACCTGCTGCCAGTGCTGGAGCTGAGCTGCTGCACAGCAGCACTTCCCAGCCTGATCCCTGGAAATCAAACTGTGCCTCCAGCCCCCCCTGTCTCCAACACTGCCCCACAGGGAGCTGTGTCGCTGGAAGGAGCACAGAGGCTTTGGTCAAGGAGAACACACGAGGCCATCCCTGACTCTGTGGTTTGGGGCAGATGGTCAACAATGTGAAACTGGAAACAATCCTCCAGGTGAGCTTTGAAAGATCATGGAATCCTGGAATGGGCTGGGTGTGAAGGGACCTTAAAGCACATCCAGTGCCACCCCTGCCATGGGCAGGGACACCTCCCACCAGCCCAGGTTGCTCCAGCCTGGCCTTGGACACTCCCAGGGATCCAGGGGCAGCCACAGCTTCTCTGGGCAACCTGTGCCAGGGCCTCCCCACCCTCCCAGCCAGGAATTCCTTCCCAATATCCCATCTAACCCTGCCCTCCTTCAGTTCAAGCCCATCAGGGGACAGGAGCTTGTTGGAGGTGTGTTTGGGCCTCACCTGGATCAACCCCTCCGTGCCCTGGTGCAGCAGGACAAGTTTCTAACCCACACAGTTAATTCCTATTAATAATAAAGTGGCAAGGTTGGGGTATTTAACTCGTCTGGGACAAGTAGGAAATATTTAATCTCCCTGTTCCAACACAGAATTCCAAGACTAACAGACTCTGCCTCCTCGGGGTTGGGTTTATTGTAATTCTTGCCAACAAAACACAAGCTGAGTTTACAAAATGTTCCAACAATTAAAGTCACTTGTTGTTCAAAAACACCAACCAAGGGACCCCTTTTGCCACCTCTGCTCTGGGCAATTCTTTCTCCATCTGCTCAGGAGCCTGTTTTTCTATTTTATTTGTTAAATATTGTTGTTTTTAATCCCACCTAGAGCCAGGCTGGTCCCTCCTCCCCGTGCCTGGAAAGCTCCTCATCGGCCGAAAGGAAAAATATCCCCCTTTTACAGAGGGTGTTCCGAGCCCAACGTGCTCCTTCTGGGCACTGCAACAGGAGATTTGTCCTCCCAGTGTTTATTTTCAATGCCTGAACTCTCAGCTTCCTGCTGAGCAGCCCCAGGGAATGGCCTGTTCCTGGTTCCCTGGGGTGATGGAGCACACCCGGCTTTCCAGACCCCTGGAACTCCCCGTGAGGACAGAGGGAGAGGAGATCAGGGCACGTGTTGCTCTGGGCTGGGTGACAAGAGGGAATCAGGCACAGGTTGGGCTCAGTGCTCTGGGAGGCCTTCCCAGCCTCAGGGATTCTGGGATTATCCAAGCTCTGTCCCAGTGTTATTTCTCCCAGGGTTATTCCCACAGCAGTTTTGTGCCTCACTGGACACGGGCACAGACAAACACCCACAGCATTCCCGACCTCCCCAGTGCTCTCCAGGACCAAGAACAGTGAGCACTGAGGGCCAGGAATCCCCCCAGGATCCCCTCCTGGAAACTGGGAGGGAATCACCAGGGTGGACTGATCTTTTATTTCAGCCTATCAAGCCCATTCCTGATAAAATCAAACATTTAATGTTTTCCACTTAGTTACTAAGTGGAAACACATGGAAATGCCGAGGGAAGGATGTTATCCTGCTTGTTCCCAAAAGGAGTTTCTGAATCCTTCTGACATTCCAGTGACATCCTTCCTGGTCTAAAAGCCCCCAGAGAGCCCCAGCTCCAGCAGCTCTGGCCCAGCTGAACACCCTGCCCAGCTCCCATCCCATTCAGCCTGGCCTCCAGCCTCCACAGACACACATTCCTGAGGGGAATTTTAACCTTACTGCTGGGTTTGGCCAGGTTTTAATACAAAATCTGCTCTGTTTCCTCTGTAAGAATAAGTAAGTTTAAGCTTTGCTACCCAAAGCAACACAAGGACCCCAAAATGTGGAGAATTCTCCCCAGTTCCAGCGTGTGAGGAAAGTTCTGAGCATGTCAGGTGGGGCCAGAGCCCCAGGAACACTCAGCTTTGTCCAAGAGCTTCCACCTTTAAACCCAGTTATCCAATAACCAACTGCAGGGAATGAAGTCTCACTTTATTGAACCTGCTGAACTTGAGCCCCAGCTGAGCTTTCCCAGCAAACTGTTCCAGAGCTGGAAAGCCCCCCAGGAAAGCACAGGTGGACAAGGCCAGGCCAGTCCATGGCTCAGCTGAATTCCCACCCAAGGGAATGGGATTCTTCAAACAGCTTCAAAGCAACACTCACGAGCTTCTGTGACTCAGTAGCTGGTTAAAACATGGGAAATAAACCCAAAGTGAGCTCAAAAATATACCAAGGCACAGGTTGGTCCCAAACCAAGACTGTTCCATGGATTTACAAGTGATCCCAGTA